AGCAGACCTTGGCCGCCCTGAGGGCGGGTGGGAACGCGGTCGAAGACGCGTTAGGTGGTTATGTGTATTAAACTACATAATCGCGATTAGCCCTTTCTTGCCGTCCCAACGAAATGATTACTGTTATAGTATTACCATAGCTTAAAAGCTATTGTGAGTTTTAAATAATTTGGAAAGAAGCCTACCTTTCGTGGTTATATTTTAAGCTCTAAAATTCGACAGAATCAGCTTAGATACGCTAAACGATTGTATCCGCTCTTAGGCTCCAATTCACTATAAAGTTGACATACCGCTGACGTAGATTCGAAATAGAGTCTATATGCGGTTGTATCTAATTGGGCACTCCTTGTTTCCTATTGGTTGTGTTTCTCAGTTTAATTATCGCGCGCAAATGCTTGGTTAGTAAGGTACAGAAGAGGACTCGCAAGACTTCACTTATTTTTTTCTTAACAACGTTAACTATGCGACGAAGACGACCTTAGTCTTTTTTTTTAAATTAAACCAATCCATCGGAGGAATGAGATAGCGAATCAAAATTTTTTAACCTTTCATCATACGGTAATCTTCAATAGTCTCAATTTAAGAACTGTGCACTATATCATACCCCGCCAGTCGGTCATGATCGACTGCTCTAACTCTACCAAAAAGGAACCGACTGTCGATCGTTGATGCGTTTCAAGTTGAAGAAGAACATTTGACTATGATTTTTAACGCGTGATTACAAACGTACCATGTAGGTCAGCTCGACACAACAGTTTGACCGTCGATTTCGATGACGTCCAATTTATGCTCCTCCACAGGGTGGTGCAGGAACCGTGACCTGCGCGTGAATTAGTTTAAAGTGATAGTAGACCTGCAGATCATCTACGACACTCTTTCTTTCCTCGCAAACCTGCGCCCGGTGTCAGGACAGAATCAAAAAGACCGGGGGCAGATACGAGCACAGGTGACTGGCGTAGTTGAAGTCGTCCTTATTCATGTCCTGCCACAACTCACTAGAATCCCAGTTGGATAGGGTTGTCGTAAAGGCCACATTAAGATGAAACCATTACAGCCTGTCTTTCACGGTGAGTTAAAAACCGCGGCTTGGCGAGTTGCCAACTGACGGGATATCTCGGACACCACAGTCAGCCTAGTGTGTGTCTTGTTGTGTGGAGTGGCCAACTGGCGGCTGGGCTCAGAGTCAGGCTACAATGGCTCCTTCTTAATGTGGCCTTTATGGCGCTCCCACGCACGCGGGAGTCTACCTAGCAAGGTGCGCTGTTGGTTCGCGTTTTGGAGTGTTGGCCGCGCCAGCTACCTGCGCCCTCCCCCATCTCCGGTTTTATCGACTCTTGCCTTGACACCGGAAACAGATGTGGGAGTGGAGAGAGAGTGAGGTATATCCTGCGCGACTTCACTTTCAGTATAATTTAGCTATAGTCAT